ATTATTATTATTATTATTATTATTATTATTATTATTATCATTATTATAATATCAGTCATTACTCATTAATATTCTATCTTGTTATTTTAATTTTGCTAAATCATTAATACAATATTTGCTTCGCTTGTAAATATTATTATTATGGTTATTATTATTGTTGTTATTGTTATTATAATTGTAATTATAATAATAATAATAATAATTATTATTATTATTATTACTATTATTATTATCCTGTCCTTATTACTATTTTAATTTATGCAGCAGTACTCACCTCATTTAAACTGATCGGTAATCCCCGTTTCATGGTTATCGGAGTGCCACGCACACAAATTAGTTCATTTAAGTCTTTCACCATACTTCGTTGCTTTCCTTCAGCTACTCTTAAAAAACAGAGGTCAATTTTATCTTATTTCTTATTTACAAAACACAGCCTAAACAATCGAAAAATTGCTGTGTTAAATAAACGTTCACAACTCAGAACCATGATATGGAAGAATTCAGAAGCATAAAAAATTAAAACAATATGAAAATCGTTAAAAAAAGTATGGCTGAGTAACATGAAAAGATGCCGGTGTTAGTCTGTTTATTAGAAACCTTAAAAAAAAAACAACTACCGAGAGTTTTACCAGCGAGTGGTTGTGGTTGACAACTGTTACAGAGTTTTACCAGCGTGTGGTTGCAGTTGGCAACTGTTACAGGGTTTTACCAGCGAACGGTTGCAATTGGCAATTACTACAGGGTTTTGCCAACGTGTGATTGCAGTTGGCAACTGTTACACAGCTTTACCAGCGAATGGTTGTAGTTGGCAACTGTTACAGAGTTTTACCAGCGAGTGGTTGTGGTTGGCAACTGCAACAGAGTTTCACCAGCGTGTGGTTGCAGTTGGCAGCTGCTACCATTTTAGCTACTTTTGATTGGAAAACGCTGTGTTTTGTATGAATGAGAAAGGATTTTTTCTTCACTTAAAAGAGAGTTCAGGAGCTCGATTTTCAAAAATGCCTACCCCAATTACTAGGGACAATTTCAGGCAGATTTCGGGATTGATCGAATTTCGTTGTGCTTTCGCAAAAACTGGAATTTTTGTCCTTCACGAAAGATGAATCAAATCCGCAAAAAAAAAAAAAAAAATTTTCGAGGGTGCTTTTGCAAAAAGGTCAAGTTCCGATAATATCTCTTCTTTCGTTCCTCAAAAACTGTCAACAGAAAAATTTTTGACGAAAAAAAACACCATTGCGACGAAAAATTTGTACAAAAAAACTGAAAAAACATAAAAAGTCAAAAACTAAGCCCTCTGTCGGCAATAAAGTAAAACTGAAAAAAAAAAGAAGGAAAGACAAGAGAATTTATTGCGATAATAAAATTTTCTCACAAATTTTTGTGAAATTTTCCCATTTCGTTCCTCCTCAAATAAAACATATTTTTTCGCTCTCCTCCTGCCCCTCCCCCTTATTTTCCCTCCTAATTCGCCCCCTCCTCTCCTAAAGTTATGACATGTTTAAAAC